TCCTGCTGCCGAGCAGCAGCGAGATGTAGAAGAGGATGCGGAAGAGGAATCCCCACGCGACGGTGATCCAGAGGCACTCCCACTTGCCGAAGTCGGTGATCGCCTGCTGCTTCAGGAAGTCCGGTCCCGTGGTGATGCACGTCCCCGTGCCGATGTTCACGCCGAGCGACGCCGACATGGACTGCAGCACCCGCACCTTGACCGCCGCCGGCAGCGCCGCCAGCGGCGTGTTGTCGAACATCTGCACGCCGCGGACGAAGCACCTCGTCGGGTCGCCGAACTCGTTCTGCATCACCGCCTCGTACGGGTACTTGACGAGCGAGATGTAGTGGAACCACAGCCAGTAGCGCGGGATCCTGTCGCGGTTGATGAAGAAGCCGCTGAAGAGGAGGAAGTAGGCGAGCGTGGAGAGCACCACGGGGAACCCCAGCATCACGTGCGTCACCACGCCGGAGAGGAACGTGGCGAAGCCGCTCCCCGCCCAGAAGGAGGCCAGCACGATTGCCACGAAGTAGAAGAACCCGTTCACGCCACCGGCGAGCCCCACGGAGAAGAAGGTGGTGAGCGCGAACGCGAAGGAGAGAACCACGAGCGACGGGAAGCCGACGATGGTGTGGGAGAGCACGTAGGATGAGCGGCGGTACGCGTTGTACGCCGTCTCCCTGAGGAAGATGTAGCGCTCGCTGAGGAACACCGGGAGCGCGTCGGAGCAGGTGTAGTACATGGTGGACATGGCGATGGCGAAGAAGCCCAGCCGCTCCTGCACGCCCTTGGGCGACTCGTCCAGGCGCCAGAAGATGGTGGCGAGGATGAACCCGGTGACCAGCACCGCCGCGAGGCGGATGATGAACACCTCCGGCGTGCGCTTCGTGTTGATGAACGCGCGACGCGTCAGCACCCCCATCTCGATCCAGAACGGGTTGACGAACTTGGACACGGACGACGACGACGGCGGCGGCGCAGAATGGTCGGAGGCGGCGACCGACACGGTGCCGTCGGTCGCGCCGGACACGAGCTTCCCGCGCGAGATGCTGGCGCTGATGGCCTCCTTGAGGGACATCCCCGGCTTGCCGCCGTACCCGCGGCCTTCCCCGTGGTGCTTCAGCTGCCACGCCGCGTTGTGCTCGGCGAGACGCTTGGTCCCCTCCGTCTCGGTCTCCATCTCCTTGATGAGGTCCAGCGCGAACTCCGTCGGGTTCTCGTTGTCCGGGATGGGCTTGCCGAAGTCGAGGAAGAACGGCGGCAGCTCGCTCGGCGGGCCGTAGTACACCGTCTTCCCGCGGGAGAGGAACAGGAGGCGGTCGAGGAGGCCGAGGATGCGGTAGCTCGGCTGGTGGATGGACATGACGACGACGCTGCCGCTCTGCGCGATGGCCTTGAGGACCGTCACCACCATGAACGCGCTGGTGGAGTCCAGCCCGGAGGTGGGCTCGTCGAGGAACAGCATGATCGGGTTGTGGATGATGTCGACACCGATGGAGACGCGCCGGCGCTCGCCTCCCGACACGCCGCGGTGGCCCTCGTCGCCGATGATCGTGTTCGCCGCTCTCTTCAGGCCGAGCTGGTCGATTAGCTCCTTCACCCGCTTCTTCTTCTCCCTGGTGGGGAGGGAGCGCGGCAGGCGGAACTCGGCGGCGAACATGAGCGTCTCCTCGACGGTGAGCATCGGGTACAGAAGGTCCTCCTGCCGGACGTACGCTGAGATGACCTTGAGCAGGTTGCTGTCGATGGACTCGCCGTTGATCGTGACGGAGCCGTGGAGGCTCTCCTTGGCGATGCGGTTGGCGAGCGCGTCGATGAGCGTGCTCTTGCCGGACCCGCTCGCGCCGAGCACCGCCATGATCTCGCCGTCCCGGGCCTCGCCGGAGATGCCGTCGAGCAGCGTCCTCATCGCGGGCAGCTCGGGCTCGTCCGCCGCCGCACGACGGAACGGCAGGCACGACCCCTTCCTCCGCTGCTTCACGCTGTACGTCAGGTCGGTGAACTTGAGCACGAGCGCCCTCGGCTGCCCCTCGCTGCCGCCGTCGTCGGAGTGGTGGTCGTCGCTCTCGCTGCTGACGGACTCCGGCTTGGACCCGCCCAGCTCGATGGTGTAGCGCGGCGACGAGATGGGCGTCGACGACCCGCTGCGCGCGTCGTTCACGCGCTTCAGGAGCTGCGCGAGCGTGACCGACGTGTGCTTCGTGCTCGTCGGCGGCGACTGCTCCAGCGGCAGCATGTTGCTGTGCGGCTGGTAGTACTGGTGGTGGTGCAGCTGCCCAAGATAGCCACTGCGCGGGAGGCCCTCGGCCTCCTCCATCGGCGACGGCCTCCGGTCGAACAGCGGCAGCTTGTCGACAAACCGCGACATCTCCGGCAAGCTCACTCTCTTAGTCTCTTACCAATACAAGTATACAACCCCCTCCCCCTCCTCCCCGATATTTATACCTTGCAGACGAGCCACCTCGATCTCGCTGCCTGCCGCGGCGAGAGCAAGAGCGAACTGGCAATGCTGGCTTGGCCTCTGATCACCGTGGCAGTGACCATTCTTATAGCTCACCCAGCTCGAGTCAAAAGCATTTTGGGAGTTTGGTGAGGGAGATCGGCTGCTTCGCTTCGCGCGATTTCTTTTCGTTAGTTGGAATTGGTTACTTAAGTTGGAGCCAAGGCTAATCCACGAGAGAGAGAGAAATAAAATTGATGGGTGCAATTGTGCAAATAGCGGCAGTAGCAGTAGCTTGGGTTTAGGAGTGAGGGGTCAAAAAGGTAGTTGCGGTGGGTGGAGCTCGCTTGTGTGCGCGCAAGAAATGGCGCCGAGGTGGGTAAGTGTAGCTCAGCCAAAGCTCACCAAATGGGCAGCTAACACTGGATGGCTGGCTAGCTGCACGTACGCTGGGATGGATATCTGCAAGGAGAGGGGAAATTTTGTGAGGGTTAGGGGTGTGTGTTGGCCAAAGTCAGGAAATGTGGAGGCAAAATTAAATTACAGGGCCTCTTTGGAAGCTGCTTATTTTAGTACCAGTGTGTTTGTTGGCTTTTTTTTTAGCGTGTTTGTTTCTGCAGCTTTGGAGATGCAACACCATTGTCAATGCTTTTGTTGGTTGGAGAAACTGTTCCGATGAGCAAATGGATAAGTTTTGGCTTCCCTTGCAGAGATGAATTGTTTTATGCTTTTATTCAGAGTCTTCAGACTGTAGTATAAACAACAGGAGCATTGCAAAATGCATGGGCATTATTTGCTCGATTTGATGCTTCGTATAACTCTGCTTAGGTGAAACCGTGAAAGCTGAGCACATCAGCTACTTTTTTAGTCTAATACATTGACTTGTAATTTTTTTACGCGTTCGTGAAAAAAAAATCAGCTACTCGTTACGTGACTAGGAACGTTAAACAATTTTTGGTCGAAATCATGACCTTCAGAATTAAGGCTTTGAGAGTGTGCTGGTTACTTGTTGCGGTGGCGAAGAGGAAGGCTCGACGTGGGCACGTGGCATGTTTTATTTTAATCTATAATCGTGGACTCTTTACTTGTGGGCTTACCTTTCAGGTTTCACGCAGGGTGCAGCTGGGAATTGGTGAACGAATAATCATCTGACCATATGCGTGAACATTTTCAGAACTTTAGTTCTGTCAGACTCTGAATAACCTCATCTTGTTCTTCTCTTAGCTCTAATTTCACAACTCTAGAAGGACACACGAAATTTCAGCAACTCTCGGTGCATACAAGCAGATGGAATCTGGTGCATTTTTTTGGTTCGTTTCAAGCAACATAGTCTGACCAACACTACCAAGCAGTAGTGCCAGCACAAAATGCCCAAGTCAACGGAAGTTGACCGTACACGTTCTCAACAAATGCGATAAAAGCTCCACCTTTTCAAGATTACGTGGGGTAGGATTCAATGGAATCATGAAATGCTCAGCGGCGTAATAGCCATGTTCTTCCTTTCTTATATATGACACTCAAATTTTCATTACTACCTCGGTTAACATCCATGATCTGCAATTTTTGGATTAGACATGTACAACTTCTCTTAAGAAGTCTTAACTGCATAAACATTTTCAGAACTCTATAGTTCTGTATTTTTGTTCTGTCAGGGACTGAATAATCTCACCTTGTTCTTCTCTTAAGTTTAATTTTATAACTCTAGAAGGACACACGAGATTTCAGCAACTCTCGGTGCTTACCCGCAGATGGAATATGGTGCATTTTTTGGCTTCGTTTCAAGCAACATTGGTCTCACCAACACTACCTACCAATGTAGTAGTGCCAGCACAAGTGCCCAGGTCAACGGAAGTTGACCATACATGGTCTCAACAAATGCGATAAAGCTCAACTGTTCCAAGATTATGTGGGGCTAGGATTCAGTGGAATCATGAATTGTTCAACGGCGTAATATATATCGTATAGTCAGTTATGCGTCTCTTATGATACTCAAATTTTCATGTACTACCTTGGTTAACGTCCATGAATTGCAATTTTTTGGATTACACATGCACAACTTAAGTATTAACTGCTTAAAAATATACATCTGGAGAGCCTAATTCGGTCTTGGTTCCTCAAATTTCCTATTTGTATTTATGACTGGAATTTCGTGGAGTGAATTTCATATAACCACATATACAATGGAAAATTTGCGCTACAAAGAGTGTTCTCTTAAACATGTACTACCTCATTTTTAAAATGTATGACGTGGGTAAATTTTCGCACAATATTTGACCATTCATCTTATTAAAAAATATAGTATAGTAAAAGTATAAGTTAATATTATATTTTATTTGATGACAAAACAAAGTCATAATAAAATAAAAATAATTTATTTTTTAATAAAATAAATGGTCAAATATTATACGAAAATTTAATGGCATCATACATTTTTAAAATGAAAAGGAGTAGTAATTTGATGATTTTGCCATTGTATCAGTAGTTTATCGAAATTTATTCGAACTCCTAGGTTTAATTTCCGAGAGTACCATTGTTGAAGGTGGGCCAAACCTATGGCCAACGAACAGCCCAACCATCCTTGCCATATTTCTTCCCCACGGCCCATGTGAACGCCCAGCTCTCCCCCTTCCCGCCGCTACACGCTCCTCTCCCGCCGATTACCACCGGCGCGCCGCCGCCGTCGCCGCCGCCGCCCCAACTCCATGGAAGAGCCACCACTCCTTGCCTCCACCTCACGCGCCACCGCCTCCGTCGCCTCCTCCTCCTCCGCAAACTGCCCCGACCCCATGGACGAGGGACCCTCCGTGTCAGTTCCCGGCCTGCCCTTCGCCGAGCAGCTTAGGGCTGCGGGGCGGGGCGCGTCCAGCGGCTCTCCGGGGGGGCCCGAGGCGCAGGTCCAGGCGCTCGCCTCGATATCCCGCGGGATCTACCCGTTGGCGAGGGCCGAGGCGCTCCGCGGCCTTGCCGCGGTCCTCGAGACGGCGGACGCCCCCGGCGGGGTTGTGGAGCTGTGCCACGGATGCGCGGTGGGGCTGATGAGGGACGAAGACGAGGGCGTCAGGTTGGCCTCCGTGCGATTGGTGAGCTGTTACCATTCTATTGGTATTTTTGGCTTTTGTTTTCTCGACTTGTTAGTTGGTAGGCTGCTTGAGGGTTTAGCGACCATGAAGTTTTAGGAACTCAGGAAATGTTTCTGTTTCGATGGCCAGATAGCTCTATGTGCGGATAAGTTGAATACGAGAGAAGGATCGGATGGAAATGGCGATAACCAAACAGACATTATGTTCCTTCAGGTATGGTTTCAGATCAGTGGAGGTTCCGGTGGATTTGATGTTACCTTACAATAGGAGTAACTAGCTAGGGGGTTCACCACTTGGTATGATTTTATAATTTTTTTTATGCTGGCATTTTATTGAATACAGTATTAATGGGTGGAGCTAAAAATTTTACAGTTTATCATCACATATTTTTACCATAAATTGTTTTGATGGTATAAGACGGTATAAGGTGAAGGTGCTGACTGCTGATATCGAAAGAGATGTAAACATGTTCTTAACTGTTCAACCAGATACACAAATTTATGACTTGAAATACTTTTTGTGCATTTTGTGTTTGTACATAAACAAGTTTTTCCTCACTTCAATGCTTACAGCTTACTTTCTCTTTCCTGGCTCCTCCATCCAGCTTAGCTCCATGGCTAGGGACATGTGTACAAATGTAAGAATTGAAGCATTCAATGCACTTGGTAAAATGCAGAGAGTTTCTGAGGGTGTTTTGCTTCAGTCACTGTCTAAGAAGGTCATAAAACCCAACACTGGGAGTGGTTCTATCATCAAGGGAGAAAAAGTACCTCCTAAATTAATATATCCCTGCGCTGCCGGCATTTTTGCGCATGGTATTGAAGATGAGTTCCATCAGGTTTTATCATTTCTTGTGTACCATGGTTTCTCTTACATTGCCATCTTTTTCTTTTTCTTTATTGTTCCTTGTACTACAGGTGCGGACAGCTGCCTGTAAATCATTGGGAGCACTTTCAAAACTCTCTGCTCAATACGCACAGAAAGCCCTGGACTTATTGATGGGCATGATGAATGATGATACAGAAGCAGTTAGGCTGCAGACTTTGCAGGCCTTATTCCATATGGCAACATATGGATGTTTGACTGTGCAGGAGATGCACATGCATATGGTACTAACTTCTAGCACTCTAGCAGTATAGTTTCAATCTTTTCGAGGGAGTCCGAATCAGACCTGCCTTGCCTTTTTTTATGAATGTGGTTTGCCCATTGTAAGCTAGAATGCTGGACATATGGGTTAGTTTGGCCATATGGGTTACTTCTTTGTGCCTTAGCTATCTCATGTCCACTATTCCTATGGCATTAACTGAGTGCTATTTATTAACTAAAAGTTAACACTTATAAGCAATAAACTTTTCGAATACTACACTTAACTGAAAATAGGTATTAAGCTTGCTTTTTTTCTAATTATATTGATCACATAATTTCCCTTAAGGCAGATTGTCACTAGTCAACAATCAATCATCCTTTCATGAACCTATGAGTACAGCAAAATGCATATGCTTATTTTCATCATGCTTGTTTGTTGGCTTGTTGATGCATGTTGACATCTTGACTTTTTCTGGAACTGGGAATCTTATTTTTGTAATATATTTTTATATCTGTGGTAACAAAGTTCCTGAAGCCAGTACTAGTGTCCTGAAGGATGATAATGACTGCAGATGATTTTGAGTACTGTCATGGTACAGTCCATACTTAAGCTTTTGAAAAAAAAATGTCATTGGACAAAGGCCAAGAAGTGGTGAATCCACTTTGCCCTGGGACATCCCATTTGAGTTTGAGGGTGTTTTGATTTTCATTTATATATTTGAACCTGCCGAATAGTCAAATGTGGTTTTCATCTAGATAGTATTTGTGCTCAGTTTCGCTAAATGCTAAATTTTGTGACCTGATGTAATGTTTGTTTCTCTTGCAGTTCCTTGGTTTGTTGGTTGACATGAATGCCTCGATCCGAGATGCAACACGCAAGATCCTAGGTTTAGTCAATCTGCCTAAACTTCAAATGTTCAAATCTGCAATCGATGTTCTCATTACAAGTTTGGAAAAACATCAAGAGGTATGTTAGTCCAATACTGTTGCAGAACAATCAACACATTTCTGTCTTGACTTTCTCAATTTTTCAGCAGTGATTATCAACTTAGAATATGATGTGCCACTGTAGTGTACTCCTATTTTGCTCCGAATGCTTGAGTATATGACTCATCTTTTTGTAATAATTAATGCTTTTCTTCCATGATGTAGCTGTGTTTGTTGCATGCAGGAACAAGAAATATACAGTGTTCTTTTTTCCGTTGGTAAGAATCATGGGAATTTTTCAGCCAATATAGCTAAGCATTTGGCCAAAGAGGTCTTTCTCCAACACTCATTTCCAGTTTATTTCTGTTTTTTCATGCCATCTGGAATTTTTGTGTGATGTTCACTAATTATGAGTTACCCGTCCAATATCTCTCTTAAGTATCAATAAATCAGATACGTGTTATGTTTTACTCTCCCAACATTTTTTTTACAATGTTTACTGTTTACGTATTTTGCCCCGCTGCTGTGTTTTGCAATGATGTTTTTGTACTATGTATATAGTTTCATCTCCCTTCTTAAGTGCATGCTACTTGCTTTATAAATGATCCACTTGGCAATTTCACCTCCAGGGATCCAAAACTACCGAAATGTTAAATAAGGTGCCAATATATAATTTTGGATTCGTTTTTCCTTACTTGTTTATACATTATTCTTGTTGTTTTATGTATAGACTCTGGTTTATGTGCTTTGAGATAGCTTGGAATTATTCTTTTTTTTTTCTTGTTCTGATATTGCATTCTCTGTATGTCACAGATCAGTATGCCATCTGATGGAGAGCTGATCTTGGACAAACCCAGGATAAAAGCATTGTTAATAGTGTCTATCTCTGTAGCTTTCTCTGATGATAAACACAACAAACGGGATATACCTGAGGTTATCTTTTCACATGCAATTTCCCTACTGGGAAAGATCTCTTGTGCAATAGGAGAAGTAGTTGATCAGAATTCACTCTTATCCTACTTTTGTCAAAGAACTGGAATTCCATTTTGGGAAACAAAGTTGCCGTCTAGAGAATCTGAAGGATGTAGTGTTGAGACAGTGGCTGACATTCGTCCTCGGATAGAAAAAACTGTAAAGTCAACTAAATGTTTAGATGAAGTTCTGACGATGCAATCAGTTAAGTCCATAATAGAAACAGTTGAAAGGACTTGGACTATCAGAAAGTCGTGCAATATTCGTGATGTTCGAAATATTCTAAGGTATCAGTCACTCTAATCCTTTCTCTTCTTTTTGCAAGGACCAATCCTTTCATTTTGACATGACTAGTATTTTACTCTCTTCTGTAAATGATTCACTGCTTTCAATGTTGTTGATTGTAGAACATGCAAGGAGGAACTAAGAATATTAGCTTCAAATTCTTCTGGATCAACTGGAGCATTCTTGAGCTTTTTGTGTGAGTATCTTGATGCAGTACAATTTATTGTAGAAATATTACGATCGTTTCAATTGGATAATTCATATGACCTTGGCCCAACTTCACCTGATATTTTACTGGAGAAGTTAGATACATCTATAAGAAGGATGAAGTGTTGTTATGCTGGATTCAATAGGGGAATGGAGATTCAAGTCTGTGAGCTTGCTTTGTTGGCGAATTTATTTGGACTTTCAAAGGTTGGGATTCAGTCGAAACTAGTGCTGGATAAGTTGCATTGGATGATTAATCGTTTAGATTGTCTGTGTGCTGATGGATCATGCGAGCTTTCTTACTTCAGCAGAGAAATTAAGAAAGCCTTTGATGCTAACTTTGTTGGCCATGATATTTTCACTTTGCTCGAGCTCTTTCATCCAAAACCAACAACAGATTATGGAATGCTGAAAACAATAAGCGCGGATTTGCAAGTAAGAGACAATGACCCTGAAAATTCATCAACATATGTTTGTGGATTACCTGTGGCTGTGAGCTTATACATATCTCTCTGCAACATCTCTAGTCAGGACAGATTGTGGCTCCGCATGATTGTTGGTGAGTCTATCCAGCACACCTTCTTAGAGTTGTCCAGTTTTGGAGGTAATGATGAGGTGAAGAGCTGCTCTACGATTATTCCTTTCTATGCTACCCCAATGGCATGCTCGTTCGTTCTGAGGACATGTCTGGTAATGGAATGCCCATACGGAAGCGTCAGCATTCGTCAAGAATGCAACAGAGGGCCAAGTGGTTCTATAATCGAACTCTCTGATGAATTGGATGTCTATTTTGTCTGTACTAAACGAAGGTGATGAATGAAACTACAGTGATGGTATGTTACACATGAACATCTTTAGCATGTGCCCTTCAATCAATTCTGAACCATATAATGTTTATGCTTAACTGATGAAAATGAACAAAGAACTAGAAGATACTCCCAACAAAACAAATTGTCTTATACATTATGTTAAAATGAAGCTGAATTATTCGCAAGCATCTGAAATAGGGTTTTTATTTGAAACTAAGAAATTCTATCTCCACTACTTGGGAAAGAAAAAAATTGTTTGCCAATTTTCAATGGCATATCTACACGAAGCTAGTCCTCTGCAAGGGCCGAGTAGAAACTGATTAGCGGACGAGCTAAACCACCTCGTCGGCGCGACCAGTGTAGCAACGACACACTTCGCCACCGGTTGCGAACGGTCACAAAATCCGGGCCGTTTTTCTCCGTGGCAACAAGCGCCGGAGCGCCGGTACCCGCGTCTCCTTCTCCCCAAAGGTTCTGATCTGGTAGCTCTTGAGGAATTCCTGGCGCATCACGTGGTACTCGGCCGTTCCGCGAACGGCGCGCGCGTCCTTCTCACGAACACCGGTCGTAGTGTCGTCTCCTCCCTCGGACCCCGGACAGTTCGCCGGCTGTTTAACCGTCGCGTGATCGTACCCTGCTGCCTCCGTCGTCTCCTCGTCTCTCTGGAAGGGGCAGTAGTCTCTGAGATACCTCTGCCGCCGCGCCTTGGCCTCGGCGATCTCCGCCCAGCGGTTGCCGTGCACGCCGTGAGACGAGGCGCTTCCTCCGCCGCCGCGGGCGGCGACGACGGACTCCAAGAACGCCTCGAGCGACTCCGGACCGCAGCGATCGGCGTACGTGATGCGCGCCGGCGGCTTGCACTGCTCGTTATATCCTCCCGGAGGGAACCACGTCTTCTCCTTCTGATCCACCGCCGGCAGCGCGGGCGGCGACGACGACATCCTGATCTCGTCCTCCACGAGGAGGTGTAAGTGTACATTGGTGCTCTCCTCCTCTCGGCCGTCGACGACCGCGGCAGCCGTGCCACCGCCGTCGCTAGGTTTGCTCCGGATCCTTCCCCGATGACCTGCCGGTGCGCCTGCTCGCCGTACTCTCCCCTTCGCCGCCGTCGTCGTCGTCGTCGTCTCCGCGACCAACAACCGTCTCGTCTGGCCGAAGCCGAACCACCGCCTCCTCCCGAACTCGTACACAAAGGCTTCCGTCAAAGCCACGTGCACCTTGTAGCGGCTGACGGCGCCGGAGAAGGGGTTCCATGTCTGTCTCGAGCTCACCTCCGTGACCGGCCGCCGCTGCCGCTTGATCGTCGCCGTCGTCCTTCGGCTCTTGTCAACTTCATCGTACGCTTCCTCGGCCGGCGGTGAAGGGCCGCGAGCAGAGCGGGTGCAGCACGAGAGCATCGCAAGCTAGCGGACCTTAGCTAATCATCATCTGCATCGCCTTCTCATTGAGAGAACTAGTTGCCTTAGATTGGCGATCAATCTGGTGGAGCGTGCGCATCTCTCGGAGTTGGGATCATGCACGAACGTTGGTTGCGCCCGCGGAAAAAGAGTCCTGTTTCGTTGCATGAAACGACTTCCTTTTTCTGGGGTTTTTTTTGGGCCAATCCAGAGCTACGAAGTAGGCCTCGGTCGGGCCTTCATACGCACGGGAACGGCCCGGACTCGAATAGCGCGCAATGCTCACCGTGCTATCATTATTTTCGCAAATGGTTTACAGCCATAACATTTTTTCAGATCAGTGATGATGAGCTGGTAAGCAAGAAAATATGTACTATTTTCTTGGAAAATATTACTCTATCTATTTTTTTAATATATGACGCAGTTGATTTTTGTTATAACCTTTGATCATCCATCTTATCCAAAAATTTTATACAAATCTTAAAAATATAAGTAATGCTTAAAGTTTATTTGGTGATAAATCAAACCACAACAAAAGAAAATACATTTACTTAAATATTTTTGAATAAAACGAATGGTTAAACATGATGTAAAAAATCATCAGCGTCATATATTAAAAAATGAAGGTCTTGTCATATATTTTAAAAGCCATTATTTTTTCTCAAATAACCTCGAAAAGGACATGAGCTCCTACAATACATCGCAGAATAACATAGTTGACAAATCTTATAACAATGTGATTAATTGAAGAAAATTCAGCATGACCCACATAAACACTTAGACATAGAGATGTTGAATCTACATCACCAACAGACATAAACACCGACGACACAAAGATGTATCGTTGGTCACGTATACTATTGAGTCTCCCAAGCTAGTCATCTACTAGTAGCATAGGAAAAACCGCAACATGATGACTTTAAGAATGGTATGTCAACAAAACGATGAAATTGACCAATCAAGACATGGGGTATGTCCACATCCAAAGAGCTCCCCTGTGATGTAGGGGGGAGAAATACCTGTAGCAATGACTTCAACTGGGCTTTATGACATTTAAAAGTGTCGTTGTCATTAGCACCAGTAAGCTGAGTAAGGCTTTCGCCTTAGAACCTCTACCCAACCATCAAGTTTAAGAGAAAAGTCACCAATGTTGTTTATACGCCTCATGTTAGCTACATATAGAGTTGACATTACTATTGCGCCTCGACATACCGTATAGCCATAGTTAGCTTCAACTTCACAATAAAGAACGTCAATTGCATAAGTGCCATTGTTGCCAAGCTCATGAAACAATGAAGTAGCTCAAACTCCACAAAGCATGTCACACCTTATGTGCACCATCATTTGCTATTGTGCATGATCATATCGAATAGCATACCTCTTCACCGCCATGCCACCAAGCAACCACACCACCTAATGCCATTGATCAAATATGAAACATGAGGGGGCGTGTTTGAATCCTAGTCACCAGTCCTACCACCATGCCGCTAACGAATGCCAGATGTCCACTGGCCAGCAACACACTATATATCTCCATGACAGGATCAAGGTCTGTCCTACACGATGCCCCGTCAGTCGGCAACCTCTTGGATAACATGGGATTCATGAGCCTCCCTATGAGGTCATTAACCACTCCTTTTTTTTTAAAAAAAATCCACTATCCTCACATGATTTATACCTTTCTCCTTTATATCTTGTACCACTTCCTTTATTAGTAATAGATAAATAATATTTTAAAATGTGTGTAGATAATATGTTTTACTTAACCATGAATATCACTTTGAATCTTTTTCATTAAACTCATAGAAACGACAAGGATAGATTTGTCTTTGAAAATAGTTCTAAAGTATCTTAACTTTTCTATATTTTTTTTCACCGTATCATTATCTAAAAATGTCACTATTTGCCACCATTATCAAACCTTACTGAGGCAGCGTTCGTTCTGGGAGATTGGAGATAGAATGCACATCGTTTTCCGCGCGTACGCTTCCCAAACTATTAAACGGTGCGTTTTTTAAAAAATTTTCTATAGGAAAGTTGCTTTAAAAAATTATATTAGTACATTTTTAAAATTTAAAATAATTAATACTCAAGTAATCATGCACTAATAATTTACATCGTTTTGCGTATCTTCCCAATCTTATTTATCTCCCCTTTCTCAAACACAGCCACATGATCCGTCCTCCTGACCTCCTGCACGTTCAAAACCGCACTAAACTTTAAAACAGTTCAGACATGGCAAGGTACAGAAGCACGCAATAACCATCGTCACGGGGACCCGCGCGTTGACGACGTGTGCGATCCAAGGCCGTCGCATGTGCGGTTCCGCCTGTCTCCCACCAACGCAAAAAAAGCACGGCCCCCCGCAGGCGGCAGCATCTCCCCCCTTCCCTCCGTACCGTGCCAGGAAATCAGGAAACCCAAGGATCCGCGCAGTACGCTTCCGTCCCATTCTCCACTCTCCGTTTCCGCTCACCCCCCGCCTCGAGCACGACGAGCCGAATATTTCCGCGTGCCATCGCCCAGGGAAAACAACGTTGTGCTCTGCTGTGCGCGCCTGCGTGCTGAGCTCCGTACCACGCCGCAGGCTCGATCTGGTTGCTTGATTCCCCAAGCGTGCGCGACCGTGCGACCATCCGACGCGCTGCTGCACCCGACACGTTGAGTGTCCGTGTCCCCTGGAGCACTGGACGCCCGGCGGATCGGCTATTCCAGAACTTCTCTGGCAGACGGCTCTGTATTTTTCTTTTTTATAAAAATTACACGTGGCAGGATGCTATTGGCTGGAGTGGCATCTCCAGGATTTTTCCTTGTGATCGCGGCGTGGCGGCTAATGGTTGGCCAGACTGACGTCGCGCCCCGGCAGCAGATTCCTTGCGTCTCCCGATCCGCGCAAAGCGGCGGGGGAGCGACGAAAGTAGCCACTCGAGTGGCACTGCGAGTGGGGCCGGAAGCATGTGGCCCCCACGTCTCGGTCTCTCTCCCCGGTCATGGAGAGCCTTTTTTCTCGCTTTGTCGCGGGCCAAATGGGCCTCTGAAAGGCCCAGATCCCAAGGGGCACACGTGGCAGCACGGGGCGTCATCTGGTGACGTCGCAACCTCCCCCGGGTCAAGCAACGCATCTGGTTAAAAAAAACAACTGAAAAACTCCGTTGCTTACCGGTTAATTGACCCCGCCCGTTCTATCCCATCGTCGCATCGAGCCAACGTAGCCGCCACGTTGACGAGACCTACCTCTCACTGACACCTCTACCCCACCCTACTGTGTCCCCACCTGTAAGTGTACAAACTCCGTTGAGATAAAGAGATAAAACCAGATAAAACCAGCAGTATTTAAGCGGCCATTGAACTACAGTGCCAATTATATTTTCTTCTTCGTCACGATCGATGGGATTTTTATTTACCCGAGCGAGAATAATAAAGTAGTTTACTCCACGAAAGAGAGGGGAAGGGAGAAAAAGCTTCTCCTCTCTTCCGCATTGCGTTGCGCCACCAATCTCCTCTCCCCATCTCGGCCTCCTCGCCGCCACCATCCGCCTCTAGGGTTTCGGTTCCATGCGATCTCGCCGCGGCGGCGGAAGGGAACCCTAGGTAGGAGGCTCTCCTCTTGTTGAGTTTGAATCTGAGGTTCGTGAACCAATGGGCAAGGGCGGGCAGGAGGAGGGCAAGCGGCGGGACGGATCCGACGCATCCGGGTC